GTAGAACTTAAAAACTAAAGAGAGTCAGATAAAAAAAAGACTAGAGATTGTAATAACATATAAACTCTGCAGGATGTATAGCCATTTCTATGATTTTTATCTCCTCGCACTTTTTCTCTATATAATTGTCAATCTGTTCGTTGGTAAATACGTCTCCTCTAAGTAGAAATTCTCTATCATTACTCAACATTTCTAGCGCTTCAATTAAAGACCTTGCGGTTTGTTTCTCTATTTCATAGAGATTAACTTTATTTTGTATGCCATCAAGACCTGCCATAAGTATAGCAGCAAAACAGAAGTAAGGGTTTGCTGTTGGATCCGGAAAAGACAATTTAGACTGTAAAAAAAGATTTGGTAGGTCAATCAATCTGCTATAACTATTTGTAGTTGGATTGGAATAAGCATTAATTGCTTTCATGTGTTTCATAATTCCACCCATGTAGCACAGATAATTTTCGGGATTCTCCAATAAGTCCTCGTTATTTTTTAACAATGATTGATGTAAATACAAGCTGTTTTGTGCTATTGCCTTGGGCATAAAGGTTGCTGTTTTGCCGTAAGATTGAGCAACATTACGTATTATATATTTAGATTTTTGAACACTGTCAGCACACTTCAAAAGTCTACTACTATCAACTCTTATTAAGCCTTGAAAAGGTGAAATTTTTTTATGATATAATGAATTCTCTATACCACTTTCCTTCATCATTAGCAATATTTCCGACCTTAAATCAGAGAGTGGATCTATTACAGGATTAGAATCAAAACTCCCGTGATTATGCTTTTTTATACTCAAATAATTTTCTACAGGACTCAAACTTGCATGTGAATTGTATTGGTTAACTCTGAATTGCACTTCGTCAAAAATAGAAAATCCTATTTCAAAACTACACAGAACCTCATCTACTGTTTTTGTTGATAAAGCATAATCATACGCTTTTTTAGCTACTGATCGTGAATCATGCATGCATAGCACAACAGCTGTTGATTGAACACAAAACGGATCAAGAAATATTGTTTGTAAATCTGGCACTAGATCTATTTTATTTTCAGCCAGTCTATCAGCATTATATGTAGTGCTATGAACCTTCCCGATTAAGTCCGTGAAACGAAAATCAATGAAATTTACTGGGTTTTGCTCTAAAAATTTTACCAAATCAGACATGTTTAAATAATAATTACATGATATATTTTATATG